CTTCAAATAAGGAAATTCTTCTCCCGGGGTCTAGTAATCTCTTCTTCATGAAGATAAAGTAGGAGATGGGGATAAGAAAGGGGGTCAAGAGGAAACTCATTATAGGAATGTCATCATAAATTTATTCAACATTTTACTTCCTTAGACTTCCATTTTCCATCTTCCTTAATGTCTTTGACTTTTGCTCTTCCAATGCAAATACACATCTTATGCATCTTTAAAATTCAAAACACTGTGTCAATTTTCTCTAAGACTTTATTATTATACATTAGCAAGGACATAAGATTCATCTATAGACAAGTGACTGCATCACTGTTTTACTTTGATGGACTCATTATTTCCTGCCTCATCCACCAGGATCCAGTTCTGAAAGCAGGTTTCAGAGCTCCTCGAGAGATTCCATATTATGAATACATGTATACCTTTTGTATACAATAGTTATCTCAGTCTATCCAAGTAAGTAAAACTCCAGTTGAAAAAGCAAACACACTATGTGGTGAATAATAAAAGAAAGATGCTTAATACAACGTTTTTGAAGCAGCCTATTTGCTATACAAGGCTAAATAACTTAAAAGTCAAAACCAAAAATCATCTGCTCCACTGCTCCTTGTGCTTGCTCTCTCTCTGCTTTTTAACCGTAACATGTCCATGACACTGCGTGCATATATGTCTCTCAAATTAACATTGATATTAGAGTCACTGGATGAGTTCTTCATGAGTTTCTTTAAAGCTTCACGCTGACGAAGGGCAGCTTCTTTTATCTTCAGTGTAAAGTAACAGGCAGAAAAGCGGTCATTTATTATAGCTATTGGCAATGCCAAAACCAGTATTCCTGATAGTATACACATAAAGGCCACTACCTTACCAATAGTAGTGTCTGGTCTAATGTCACCATAACCAACAGTTGTCATGGAAGTCGTTGCCCACCACCAAGCACCAGGTACACTTGTGAAGGTTGTGCCTGGCACGCCTTGCTCAACAAAGTACTCCACAGTGGAAAATATAGAGATTCCTACAGAGAGGAAAAGCAGCAAAAGGCCAACCTCCTCGTAGCACTGTGCAATAGTCATCCCAAGAGACCGCAAGCCTGAAAGACAAGAAACGCTGTCAGTAGATTGATTCACGTATTCACTGCCATCATAACTTTGCAAAACATCTCTTATTTGAAAGCTGCCTGCCTTATGTTTTTGCTTTGACTGCTAGTGAACATGCCTTAAGGGGTGCTACTCTCAGCGCTACTGGGAAAACATGATTTAAAGAAATAGACTAAAATGTTAGACTGAACCACTGACATAATGTTTGCTTCCTTAATACAGAGCACAGACATTTGCCTCATTACTTATTGTTTGAACTATGTACATATATAATTTAGAAAAACTAACCAATCTTGATTTAGTAATTGGCTATAACAGATCTAGCACAATTTTTAATGTTATCTAAATAACCATTAAAAAACACACTAAAAACACCTGCTCCCTCCCTGCAGTCTGAATGTGCCAAGCTTCTATTTTCCAGATATTGTCACATTTTTCTCTTGTGTCAAACAATACGTAGTTACCAAATTTGAGTTCCCAGGTGGGTGCTCAGAGACCAGTTCAGTTACTTAGAAACTTTCGCTTTGCTAAGGACTGCTTTCAATCCTTTTGAGTTCTCACAGCCTCGCTTTGACCCATTTCCCCCCAAAATCTATCAATATATTTATCTGTAGACATAAAAACATATACAATATTACAGCAGCAGCTGTATTTCTGCCAAAGCTGGAGATACTAGAGCCCCCCAGTGCAAATATAGTATTCTCCTGTTAATTCACCA